ATAAAGCAACAGAGGGTTAGTATCAATATTCATGAAGAACTCAAACAATGCAATGAGAGAAAAACAACTTAATAGATTTCATTCAACTTTATCACAGAATATTTTACCCAAATTGGTTCAAGAAAATATAGATCTACTAACAGATGAAAAAAAGAAAGAAAGAGTAGTTAAAAGCCTACTCAAAAAAAAGAAAAATGGGCAGTGATAAATTCACAAAAGAGAGAAATCAAAAGATCAATAAATATATGAGATAATTAACCTCAGCAAACAATAAAATGAACACTAAAATAATGAATACAATTTCATGAGAATGAGATTGGCAAAAATTTTAAGTCTAAAGGTAACAAAAAGATATGGAGAGAAATAGACAAACTTTTACACTGCTTGTAGGACTGTAAAACTGTACAACCACATTGCAGAGCAATTTAGCAACATTTAGAAAAGCTGAAAATACACATATCCTATTATGCAGCAATAGAATTTCTGATATTTACCCAAAAGGAGAGAAAAAGAAACTAGGGTAATATTTTGAGGAAACAATGCCTAAAAATTTTCTAGAACATATTAAAGAAATGAATTTACAACAACAGGAAGTCCAGCAAATCTCAAGAAAGATAAAAGAAGTCAAATCTATACGTAGATTCATCAGTGAAACTGCAGAAATCCAAAGACACAGAAAACCTTAAAAGAAGGTACAAAAGAAGACTGACGATTGTCAAAGAAGTAACATTTAGAGTGACTTCCCAGCAGCAAAAATAAGAGCCAAAACTCAGTGGAATAAAAACAAAACCTGCCAAATGAGAATTCCATAACTAGAGAAAACATATTCCAAAAATAACGGTATGTCAATATCATAAAGGAAAGAAACAGAATTTGCCACAAGCAGGCATACATTCTAGGAACTTCTAACAAATGTCCATTAGGCACAAAGAAAATGATTTCAGATAGAAGGTCTAGGATGTAAAAGAAAATTAGGAGCAAAGGAAGTGGTAAATATACGTATACAACTGTGTATGAATTTTGACTGACTAAACCATAATAATAATGTCTTAGGAGATTTAAAAATATAGAGAGAATTAAGAAATACAAGAATCGTATTTTGGCTTTTGTATTTCTAAATTAGGAGCAGAGGTACCTCAGACTCTCATGACAGCCACAGCGCTATTATACTGTCAACTCCATGAACTTAGATCTTGTGACTTAATTATCTTTGCATCTGTCAGTATCTAACATAGTCTTTGGCCCCAGGGAAGCAGTATAGTGAAGGGATTCTGTGGTCAATTTCTTGGAATCGAGTCCTGGCTCTACCTCTCTTACCAATTGCAGAACCTTGGGAAAATCCTTTAACCCATCTGTGTCAAGTTTTCCCGATCTGTAATAATAGAGATAGTAATAGTTGGGATTACTGTGAGCATAAAATAAGATGCGCCTGGCACAAGATGCCCAATAATTGTTGGCTACTTCTATTACAAAAGAAAATAGAGATTTACAAGCAAATTAGTTGTATTTTTATATGATTTACCTAGCACATGTAAATATTATTTGGCCTGACATATTTAATAACATCCATTTATAAAATATCTTAACTATGTTAAAACAATTGTTTAATTCTCTTTTCGGATTTTGAAATAATTTCTCTCTAGAATAATACATGTAATATCAGCCAATCTCACACCATCTATTTTTAACATAGTATTTCTGGTGAAATGATGAGGCCCTAACCAATTTACTTTCTCTTGTAGTCAGTAATATTTCAGAATATTCAGTTTTTCTTAGTTTATTGCCTTGAAAGTGAAAAGGTATTTCATCTCAGTTCACCACACATTTCAAGATCATACTACAATAATGAAAAATGTTCATCTAATCTGAAGATTCTATATCTACGAGGTGTTTCCACTCACAGTGTCAGCCCACTTCATTCTTACCTGAGCAAAGACTATTGTAACAAAGGCTTTTGAGAAAGCCATTAATCACTGTCATTTAGTACATAATTGAAAAAGCAAAACTTTCAGCAGAAGATAAATATTAAACAGTGATATTAAAATAATCATCATTCAAAAAATGGCACTGGTTTTGCCAATAGTTTCTGACTGACCATATAAAAATTGCATAAATAAGTGAGATCTAGTAAGAAAGGGATATTGCACACATATAATGCCATTATTCTTTATGAAAGTTTATTAGCCATCTAAATTAGCTTACTAATGACTTGAATATTTGCAAAAAATACTACGATACTCAGTTCATTTGTTATTTGTACCTCTTTTTTACCACCAAGACTGAAGTATCTCCCCAAGATAATTCTAGTTGCTTACTCTCTGCTTACATTTTGGACCATATCTGGGCAACACCTGCATGGGGCTCCATGTGAGGAGACAGTGCCAGTGGCAGAAGACCTGTCATCACTAGTGTGGGTTCAGGCTTGTGGTACGCTCTAACTCTGACACAGAAATCAGAAAATCCTTCCTTGAGAAAAGTCTTGAATTAATTAACATCTTAATTAATTTTTATTAATTAACTAACATCTTTTCTATTTCATTTCTTTCTCTGTCTTTGTAAAAACCTTATACGTAACATTTTATAGCATATGTGTGAGAATCTTAAGACTGCGGGGCATTATCCTTACCAAGAGTAAACAAAACTATACCCTCACTATTTTACTTCTAATATAATTTGTTTGATTATGATTACTATATTTGCAAAGTACACACAGGATAACTCATATCCATGCAACATTATTGTTTACAAACTGCTCTAACACGTCTCGTGGGTCTCACAAGACCCTGTGAGACAGGTAGATCTTGTGCCTGCTTATATTTTCAAAAGGAAGTAAAAGAAGAAACAGAACTTTGGGAACATAATGCATATCATGTTTAGTATAAGAAGAGGTCAGAGGCTTCACAATTACATGACTTTCTCTGTCGTGTTCTTCTTTGGCTATAATAAATATGAACAGAACTAAATAAAAGGAAAGATATGCCACATTTATAGAAGACTTTGGGTATTTAATATGTCTATTCTCCAAAACTGATTATTAGATAAAATTCAATGTCAATAAAAATCTTAGCAGGCTTTCTTTTTTTTGTAGGAAAAAACTCATCTGTGGTGATAGAAATCAGAATAGCAGTTGCATACAAGGGGTGAGTAGAGACTGACTGGAAGCAGATATGAGGAACTATCCGAGAAGATAGAAATGTTCTATATTCTGATTGGCATATGTGGTTACATGGGTATATACACTTGTCAAAATTCTAAGAACTGTACATTTAAGAGTTGGATTATGGATTGATCCGCAATATGGTTATTCTTTACTTATGTGGTCAGCACATCCCATTTGATCAGAGACCTCAATATGATAAATCAGTCCTTTTGTTTAAACCATAAATAACACAGCAACCCACACTATTTATTCATAAAGAATCCTGTAAATGAAAGAAGGAAGGATATACAAAAGAAATCAAACATTAACCTTCCCTCAAGAAATTAATCCAGTTAGAAATACTGTTTTTAAATCTGCATTTATCTGACTATCAGTTAGGTGAGTTATCTTTTCATAAGTCTCTTTTGATTTCATTTTTTATTGTAGTAGTTGTTTGTTTTGTTTTAATTTTTGTTTATTTGTCTATTTAGGTTTCTTCTTTTATGAATTCCCTCTTCGTATTATGTGCCCGTTTCACTGCTGGGTTTCTAGACTATTTTATTTATTTATAGTATAACTTTATTTTTATAAATATAAATTAATTGGTTATATGTATTCTAAATATCTTTTTCACTTTGTTGCATATCTTTTCTTTTGCAGAAATATCTTTTCCTTTATGGAGTGCACCTTATGTATCGTGTTTATGAAATAGGAATATACTCTTGGTATCAATTCTACTTATTTCTTGACTTCTGTTGTAACTTCTTTGTTTATCCTTCAGTTATTTAGAAGAGATTTTTAAAATTAATTAATTATTATTTTTAATTTCCAAAGGAGTGGGAATGGGTAAGAATGGGAAGGAACATGTAAAAAGAGAGAGTGGGGGATGGGGAAGGGGAAGTTACCTTTTTTGCTTCCAACTGATTTCTAATTTACTACATTGTTCAAAGTTGTGGTTGTAGGATACTGATTCTTTAAAATGGAGAGGACTTGGTTTGTGAACTAGTATGTGGATAACATTTTACAAATACTCTATGCATCCTTGAAAAGAATGGGTAGAAAATCTTGCAGCTAGAGCTTAGTCTAAAACACATAAGTTTTCTGTTATTTTCTACGTTGATGAGTAGACTTCTCTGTAGTCCACCATTTTACTAAGGTAACATTTTTTTTTTTTTTTTTTTTTTGTGAGGAGATCAGCCCTGTGC